TTTGATCACCGTTTTCGGTAATCGTTGTGACGGAACTATTATAAAATGGCCAAAATTGGCCATTTTATAATAGTTAAAAATATAAAAAATTTAAAAAATAAAATTTCACAACAGATGGCGCCACCAAATTCCGCCGGGGAAAGTTAAGCAACTCTTTGCTGGATTATTTAAACTAATTTTAAATCGGATATAAACAAGTTGGTTTAACTTCGTTGGCCTCGAGGATCGGGTTAATAATAATTATTTATCTTTAGACATCAATTTTAGAGTTATGTTATGTTTAAGAAATAACAAAGTAATATTTGATAAATTTTAAAGATGGCGATATTATATATCCGATACTTATGAAGGTGTGCGATAATTTTGAAAAGGTTAGGAAACACCGACTATTGGCATGGACTAACATTTATTCGGAAAACAAAGAATCAACGCGCCGAATACAAACTCAAGTTACTAAAATATAATTACATACCCGAACTGGACGATTCCATAGAAAGGAACGTTTCAATTGTTCAAAAATTACAACTCAAAAACACCACGAAAACGAGTTGAAAAATTCAAAAATGGCGCGCGTACCATCCGCAGTTAATTCTCTTCAGTTTCGCGCTTCTGGTGGGAAAGGGAGCGAGTAAATGGACATTTCAATTTCGTTTTGTTTATGTCCTGTTTCTGGTATATAATAAAGTATGTATTTATAATTTCGTTATTTTAATTTTTTGTCGGATTTGTCAGTTCTTTTATAAGTTAAAAATCGCGCCGCTGTCAACGGCTGAACACCTTAGAAGTACGAAGGAATACGTGTCAGAAGTTGCAATTTGGCACGGAGTATTTGGTGCCCAAATCGTGGGCACATAAAATAAACCAGACTCGTAGGTAATCACGGGACCGAAATCATTTTTGGGACATTCTCGTCCCAAAAATGGCTTCGCCGTTTTACTTATTTTTTTGAAATAATAATAATAATAATAATAATAAATTCCGCACTAAAACCAACAACTAACAATTGCCCCCCAAACATTTTTATAAAATAAGTAACAAAATTAAAGTAAATCCCGAAAGAATATAATTTTTCAAAGAAAACGATTGCTAGACGACGAATCTCGTGGGTCCGGAATTTTGGCAAAGTCGGTAATCATTCTGGCTGAATTCTCCCGGCGGAAGGATGATTCAGACGGGACAATCGTCTTTAATATATTCTACATAAGATTTTCATGGCATCCATTAATTCATCTCCAGCAAAATACGACGGATCAGAAACGGTGGCAAATTTCCCAACGCAATTCTCATCCCGTGTTCTCCGGTAATAAACGTAAATACTCGGCTACCTAGCCAAGTTTTTGCTCTTTGTTATTGGATCTTGGAAGGAAAATGCCACGGACGTAACACCCCCCCCCACGGCCTCCATATACAATAACTAAGGTGGCCACGGACTTTCCTGTAATCGATCGATAGAAACGCTTCTGGTATTTATTACGATTCGATCTCGGATCGACCAATTAATACTTTGCAGGCTGTTAATGCCGCTCCCACGTACAATGCGTATACATTTGTATATTATGTTGCGCACGCACAATACGATACCCGGCCGTAACGCTCCACGGATAAAAGATACTATTGTTAAAATAATTACCCGCCGCCTTTTATTGTTATTTAATATCGTTTAGTTCTAACCGGCTTATTATTATTTTTTCTTTCTTTCTCTTTCGCCAAAATTTATTTACCGACAGAAATTTAGGTTAAAGTTTACGAGAGAGAGAGAGAGAGAGAGAATCGTACGTCTTCTAAACGCGGCACGCCCCAGACCGGAAACAAAATGGGAATTTATCCGGAAATGTCCGGGACGCCGATAGATGGCGGCGTTGGAATAATTTAGTGGCCTGCCCGGACACGTCCGGAAATCGTAATTCGGCGGCGCGTTCCGAATGCCGAACGGACCGATAATTTCTTCCTTCCCCCCTCCACTCTCTTTCCGTCATTTCTTCTCCAATTAAATAATTATACCAGAATATTCAAAATATTTGAAACGTCATTTTTCTAAAAAAAAAAATTCCGTATTATTATTATTATTATTAAAGAAAAGTAAAATTAGCGGAGAAAAGAAAACATTCCACCAATCTTTACAATCCGAAAAATCGCCATTTGCAAAAATTATTTTCAATTTTAAGCGAGAGATGGCGCCACTATATATTGTAGATAAAAAGAACGGACGAATAACCGAAGCCGATAGACAAATTTGGTAATAACGTTGAGGTTATTACGCGCGAGATTAACTTCCGTTAAGATTTTACGCTAATTATTTCGAATTTCTCCAACGACGAAATCGTCAACAAGTAAATAAATAAATAAAATTTCTCGAGAACCGCTCCATTCTTCTCAGTTTAATGGTTTCTTTTTCGGGGGGATGGGCCTTGTGAAGGAAGATTTCGGCCACACACATTATTAACGGATAACGAAACCGTCTACGCTACGGTAATTAGAGACGATCCCTCGCCCGTAATTGGCTACCACAGACGTAAGGATACCGCCCGGAACACTTTCTATTCCCCTTATAAAAGTCCGATTGTTTAATCGCATCGGAGACGGAAGATTCGACAAAAAAAAAAAAACCAAATTTTTGATGACTTAACGCATAAAAATTCTAATTAATTGAAGACAATCTTTCGCGTTTCATTAACCTTTCTTCATTTTTTTTTCCGTTCCTCGTGTTCTACGTGGAGCGCGTGCGAAAGAGGACAATGCTTCCGATCCGTTGATAAGTACAGTCAGTACTTCGGTCGTTCTCTCACCGTAAAATTATCGTTACGATTAATAAAATGGACGTATTTCCGACTAGGAATATTTTCGGAATTTTAAGAGGAGGAAAAGAAAGGAAAGACGGTTACAATGGCGGTAATAAGGTCTTTATAGAAAAATACGCCGCCAGATGGCGTACGCTCGTCCTTTGATTACGTCGGATCTCGTAGTTTCTATCTCATTAAAAAAGTTTTGCCTTAAATTAAAGAAAGTTGTAATAATAGGGACGCCAGATAACTTTCTCTCCCGAAAATCGATTGTCCATAATTAGTATATTTATTGAACATAGATCAAAGTTAAGACGTTAGATCACGTGACCAGCCGCTCCGGTGGATGATCGGGAGATATTCCGAGGGACCGGTCGGTCGCTTAGCAACGGCATTATCGTCCCCTTCCTTTCCATCCTTCGATCGCTGGGTCACGTGGCCAGGGTCACGTGACAGAGACGATCGAAGATTTTCTAGAGTCGCCGACGCGATTCCCTCTCTCTCTCTCTCATTTATCGTAAAAATGGTCATTTTACCGTTTAATTATATTTCGGAAAGACGTCGATTTATCGTCCGGATGTTTCGCTGGAAATTAATACGGACGGCGAAATTTCCATTCGGATGGCAACCCGACTAAGCTCGAGACGGTCGCCCCCTCTCGGAATAATCCGACACCTTTAAATTCTCGTTTGGCCGAACGATTCGCTGGTTAAATATCTAAAGAGAAATTAAAAAAAAATAACACACAGAACCTAATTACTTGTAAATTAAGTAGAACAATTGCTTTAAATGCAATAAAGAGCTTTCTTCCGAAACATCGATTTAAATATCCGGTACTAGATGGCAGCACGTAAATAATTACAATTACAGACTCTAATTACGTTTCGAACAATTAAACGCAAACTTTTAAAAAATTGTTTAGAAACGAAATTAGATTGAATCGTTAATTTAAAAAAAAAGAAAGGGAAAAGATGAGGAAAAAAAGAAGTGGGATTTAAGAACGGATGCCCATTACGTCATTAGTTGTTTAGGAAGAGAAAACGATTGGGTGACGTCACGGCCGTGTACCTGCGGTCGGTTCAAGTAGGTCAGAGCGTAGACCGAGTCGTAAGCGAGTGGAAAGACGATTAAACGTAGGAAAGGGTGAGAAAGGACGGTCGGAAGTTCGGAAAAAAATCCGCGATTACCGCAGCTGTCGGAAAACCAGATCGATGGTAGCTCGAAGATACCATTAAGTGCGTAGGTAAGGCCGGCGCCAAGATGGGCTCGCAAATCCTTAAAATCAATAACATTTTACGAAATTACCCACCGCGAGGAGTCCGAAAGCCACGTCGCACTCCTCCGTGCAAATATTCGAAAAATTGACGTCAGACCGGAAACGGAAATATAGTTTGTGAAAAGTACGAACGGGGGCGCCGTGGTTATTTTGCACGCGGGGCTACTTACGGTAACGAAGCGGGTCTAAAAATGTCTGGATTGCAAAACGACACTTTGCGGACGTTGTTACTATAGCAACAGATGACGTCACGGTCTATCTCTTCAATCAATATCGGACATCTTAAACAATAAACATTACCTGCGTCGGCATGGACGAAAAGTCCGGATCTTCTTTCCCTTTCTTCTTCCACGTCGAAAACTCCGTGACGTCACGGGAGTCGACCCCGATCGCGCGCGTCGCTGGGATAATTACGTTTATCTGGAGATCGGCATCCGAAACGGACGCGTTCCGGAGGACGTTCGTCGGTCCGCGCGTCGTTTCCATGGAAACGATACGCCACGCTTCCAGTCAACAACGATCACGTGACAGATTCGGAAATAACCGCGGGAGGGGAATGGCTTCGTCACCCTCGGACAACGGGGCAGTTAAATAGAAATTTTCGAAATTTGACCGAGTTTCGGAGTTTGTCGCCATTTTATTTTTAGTCAAAAGGAATTGGTTTCGATACTATACGAGCGATTAGATGGAAGAATGAATAGCCAGGTCTGGAGGGGTTATCGATCGAGATTCGAACTCGAGGCGAGTTCGTCGACCGTGGCGAAAATTGTCTTAACTTCCGACAAATTTGGACATTCTCATTTAATCTTTTAATAAAAATAGAGAACGAAAAAGCAATGTCTATCGGGGTTTACACCCCCGGGTTGGCAATCGGCCAGTTCGACTCGGGCATCAACTCTACCCTTACCACGTCACTCGAGACGGCTCCAAACACAGACGACACGTGACGTTGGGAGATTTTAATATTAAGCAAAACACGGATACAGAGTTTCTCTCGTTCGGAGCACAAAACACGACACGTCACGAATACATAGGAACTACACTGCCGTTATCTACATATGTACAGTGCGAGAGGAGGCCATGCCGAGAAGTCTTCCTCGCACGAGATTTTTTTGTTTTTTGGCCGCCGCACGGAAGATGACAACGTCCGATCTCCCTCGTACCCGTAATCACATCACAGTTATCGCTTCGAAGTGGCACGTGGCGGTGTCTATCGGAGCGTGACGGTCTCGATGCCCAATACTTCACGAATATTGTTGTCCAATTTGACGACGGATACCGTCGATCCCGGTTCCTCCACCGGCGGTTTGCTCGAACCCGTTAACAGCTGACTGCTCAAGCTGCTCGTTTCGAATTCGGTTTTGGTCACGCTGACGATCTCTATGTGACTGTGAACCCTCCGAAATTCCTCTATCGTCAGTCCCGTCTGTTTGAGCACGTCCGACAGACGTAGGTAATTGTGTGGCCTGAAAAAAAAGACAGGTGAGAAAAAGGCCAGGAGTGCAAGAGGTAGGTAAAGGGGAGGAAGTACTCACACTTTGCCCGCGGTTCCGGATAAGTGGATGCGAAAGGTGGGTAGATGGGGTTTGTCGCTGATCTCGAACAGAAAGTCGTCTTCGTTCTCGTCCGCTTCGTTGTCGGATGGCACGCTTTCGAATATGCAGTATCCGTTTTCGGGTGGATCTAAAGAGGAACCAGGCTGTAAAACACCGTAGGGGAGAAACGAGAGGAGTTTTTAGCGGTGGTATATTTACCGAGAGACGATACGGAACCGTAAAATATCCAAGGAAGGACGGGATGTTTGTCGTATTCTCCACTGTTGTCGGCTATATAACCTGAGAAAAGAGCGGCCGTCAGTCTAGCCGGGAGCGTAAAAGGTGGAAAGGAGTATTTAAACGGAGTTTACCTCTGAGGAATTCTTTCATGATGTTGGAATGAGTCAACTTGAGCGGAGTCATTCCGGAATACGTGGCGATGGTGGGATCCGCTCCGAAAGAGAGCAACAAGCGCACCACTTCTATGTGATCGTTTTCCACCGCGTCGTGAATGGGCCTTATTCCCCCCGCGGCGCTGGCATTTACGTCGGCACCGAACTGCAACAGGGAACGAGAGATGTTGACGTGTCCTCTGCTGCAGCACTCGTGCAGCGGAGTGTACCCCGCGTTATCGCGAGCGTTGACTTCGCAGTAATTAGTTTCCAGACAGTAGAGCACCACCTCCTGAAAACAAAGGCCGAAACGTCAGTTACCAACTGGCTCGTACTCATCCCTCACCCGCCACAGACACCTACCGAATAGCCCAATCTGGCGGCTCTGTGAAGCACCGTTTCTCCCAAAGCTTTGTTGACCATCAGTCGCTTGAGATCGGGAGGTACTCCACCCGTTTCCGACGCCGTCTGAAAAATAAAGTCCATTACTCGGATCGACCGATCGTTTTGCCCAAAGTTTCGACAAGGACCAACGACCGACCGACCTTCCTCTCCTTGTCCAGCAACAACAGGCGATTGCGGCGATTCTTCAAGAGCTGCAAACGACGTCTCTGTTGTTCTCCCGAAGATTTTATTTTCTTCTTTCCTCGATTGATCATATCGAGTCCCGAACGAAAATGGCGCCGACGACACTTGTAAGGTCTCCATTGAAGGTTCAGCTGAGACAAAACGGGTCGTTCCTGCTTGGGCTTTCTTTCCTTCTCTTCTTCGTCCGTTTGTTGTTGCTGTTGTTCTTTGTGCAGCGACGTCTTCTCTTTGTAGAGTCGAGCCAACAAACGTTTCCTCAGCTTCCTCTTGGCTCGAAATCCCGCCAAGCGCTTGGCTTCCCGACGTAATTCCTCCTCGTAGGCGGCATTCTTGTTGTATTTTTTCGTGTGATTGGCATATTTGTGAGCTAAAAAGACACCCCCACCTTTCTCTCTCAATCAAATTAAATATCAACCTTTTATATTCTCGTTTATCGTAAATTACAGACTTACCCGCCGATTGGTTTCTCGTACGAGAAGACAGAACTTCTGGCTTAAAATCTACGAAGGCACTCTTGTTGTAAGTTCTCCTACCCGCAGCATCCCCTACGGTAAATTATACTTGAGAAATGAGGGCAACAAGCAACTCGTACGTCACGCGTACAAATAATATCCGAGGAATAAAATAATTACTTTACTTATTTACACCGGGGCGTAAAAATAAAAAAAGCCATAAGATTAACAAAAGTAAATAGAATTGTCTCCGGGAGAAGTTAAATAGAGAATTGATACGGGAGGAAGGAGAGAAATGCATTAAGAGTGTTTCGTCGAGCGAAACGTAACTTTTGTAGTTTACAGCGACGACCGGCCACTTGTATTATTATTATTATTATCTAATAATAATTAAGTAGTAATAAGGAAAAGAACTTACTGGGAAATGCCGTTTCGTCGGCTTCCAGAGCCATAACCTACGACACAAAAAGACAAATTAGGCGCCTGACGTCGATAATAATACGCCGTCTATCGAATGAAAAACTTCTTACCTCTTTCGATTTCATGGTTTTGTTGCATTTCGGACGGGATGGAGAATGATGGATGTTTTGCTCTTTCTCCAATTTTTCAAATCTCAACATCGCACGCTATTATTATACAAAACAAATATCACTTTTAATAATTTCCTAGAGAAATTCTTCGTTGACGGTGGCTACCGCGATCCTCTCTCTAAAGTTAGATCGAAAGGGAATCGATTGGATCGATCGATCCCCCTGATTAAATCTATCGACCGGAGATGTCGGTAACGAAGTCATCGATCCGACTTTCCATTATCAATCCCCAATTTCTTTTGTTTTTTTTTTTTTTTTAACAATTAATTCGCCATTTACAATTTAAGAATGCGACTTTATTCCCAGAAATGATTATTCTTAAAACGTACGTAACCCGGCTGGGGGGGAGGGGAGGCGAAGTAGCCACGCGTTGCAAATGGACTTTTGAATATCTTAATCAATTGGCGGGGGAGGAGAATTTAGAAACGAGTCATTTACCTGCAAAGCTCTTTCTTCGCGTCCTAATTGCGAGGGATCGGCGAATAAGTCGGTGGTTTTCGATCGCTTCTTCTCGGCCACGTAACCTTCGGAATCGGCCAAACACTCCAACATCGACCTCTTTCTTCCGGGTTTGGACGAATCTCGACTGCAGTCCGAAAGCGCCTCCAACTTGTCCCCCTCTCCGCCGGCCTCCGTCGAAGCGGGAGTCGACACCCGAAAATTGGCGGCCGCGTTCGTATCACAGGAGGGTGTCGACGTCAGCAGTTTCTTCAACACGTTGGACTCCCGACGTTCCTCGTGTTTGTCCGCGTTGACGGGTGTCGGGACCTCCGTCGGGAAACACTCTTCCCTGCATTTGGGGTCCTCCGCCGACGTCGTGGACGGCGGCGCCGGGGACTTCAGACGAAAAACCGCCGACAGATCGTCCAAGTCGCTGAAAGTGGGAGGAAGAGGGAAGGAAGAATCGAACCCGTCGTTGCGGGGAAACAGGGGTTCCGAGTTCTGCGACGTCTGAGGCGCGCCGTCTAGCGTCAGTTCCTCGATGAGAGGTTTGGGGGGAGGTATGGAGATTCGCGTGGGTTCGGATGCGGGGGCCGAGGAGACGGCGGCGATGAGTTGGGGAGGACCCAGCGGACTAGAAACGCTATTGTACACGTCCACGGGCATTCTGGATTCGTCGGGTCTGACCGCTTCCAAACAGGGAGGAGCCGTGGGCTCCGTCTCCACCGCCGTCCGTTTGATCGTTCTCCACGAGTCGTCGTGGTCCAAGGGGTACTTTTGTCTGTCGTCCAACTCCGCCATCACCTGCTTCCAGGCGGCGGTGAAGACGCTGTTGTTGGAACTGTCTTCCTCGATCACTATGACGTCGTCGTCGTCGTTCCTGGCCTCGATGTTGATCTCGTCCAGACCCCCGTATCTCGCTCGGATCTCTTGACTGTTCGACGATACCTGCCGATTCTTGTCGGAGATTGGAAGTCCCGGAAAATCGCGCGCGGTGCGGGGGCTCTCCTTCTGGTTACCCCCCGCGCCTTCCTTTCTTTTCAGGACGGGTGACGAAGCGGGTGCGACTACTTTGGTGGGTGGAACGGCCGACAGACCGGACGTCCAGTTCGTGGGTCCCAACTGGGTGACGTTCTTGTTCTCCGCGCAGGTCGGCGGCACGCAGTAATTGTTTTGAGGAAGACAGTATTCGGAAGAACGAGGATCTACCGCGGGATACCGATAATTGTTGACGGTCGTCTTGGATCTATTGTCTTTGGTAGGCATACAGGGAGTATTTTGCATACAGTAGCCGTAGTGCGTGGCGGTGGCCACGTGTTGCGGAACCTGCTGTTGTACCGGTCTCGCCACCTGTTGGGGTTGTTGATCGCAAAAACGTTGCAAGTGGTCCGTGTAGTGAGCGTGATCGTATCCGTTCACGCCGTTTACGCGTCCCGCCGAGTGATGATGGTGCATCTTGTCCTTAGACGGGTCCATGCCCGACATGTCGGGGAAGAGAGTGTAAGACGGTAGCACGTTATTCGTCAGTCCTTGCTGATTGTACACGGGGCGTTTGATGTCGCCGTTAAAGTTCTGCGCGGGATGGATGGGTAGAGTGGTCATGGGATCCACGTACGGCACGGGTTGCGATTGATTCCTCATGGGTTTGGTCACTCGCTGGTGTTCGTGCTGCAATAAGTTGGACATCATGGGGTGATGAGAGCCCAGAGAATTCGCTGCATTCGACGCCACGGTCCTGTTGTCCACGCAATATTGAGACGTCATAGGGGGCAGAACCCCCACCGAATGATCCGCAGCTCTGTACGGAACGCGGAATAGAGGCCGGTCGAAGAACGGTTCGGCCCCGACGTTGTTGGGAGGCATCTGACGTCCCAGGTTGTTGAAAGACTGCGACGTCACAAAACCCAGCAGCTTTCTGTGTTCCATCAAGAATTCGGCCGTCGATTCCGGCGTCTGTCGGACCGTCTTCAGCGACAGATCCAACGGAATTTCTCGTTCTCGACCGGGAGTCAATAAGGGCACGTCGACGGGACCACCCATGCTGTTATGGCGCGGATCGAACGTCCGGACACTAGGAAAGGAACTTGGATAGTACATCTTACGGAATACCCCTTCAGTTTTCTCTGAAACGATAAAAATTCGCACGTCAGTCAACACTACGGACATCGACACCCATTTCTAATTTAAATTATAATTCCGCGCGCTCCTTAACCAAAACGTTACGTCGACCAGACCAAAAAAAGATTAGCCAAGTGAGGCGATGATTCACCAATCCCGAAACGACCCTGACGAAACGGAAAACAATCCCGATTTCCCGACGACCTTAACTTCCCAACGAAACGTGTCGTCACGTCTCGCGCTAAGGGTGTGCGAGCTTATCGCGCACATAAATCGTGACGTCGTCGGAGGCACGAAAATATGCTAATTTTTAATAAATTAACATCCCATTCAATATTTTCAAAAGTAATATAAATACGTTCGATATATTTTAACGGATCGTTAACTTTTATATATATATATATATATATACCACAGACGATAACATTGTTTACATTCGAAACGTCAGACTGTTACTACGTAAATAGCACTCGTAAGGGTGGAAAAGACGAGAGTGCGTAGATTATAAACCGCTTTACGAACTTCCAGTGGATAATTTCCCACCGTTTCTATACGAGTTTCGAGGTTAGGGTGAAGAAAAGTAAGAATTAAAACGGCTTTTTTTTTAAATAATACGTCCGTCGGTAGGTACGAAGAAAGAATAAATTGGTTTACGGTACGTTGTTAGGCGATTCTCTTCCAGTAAAATTGACGCAATGCGACACCAGCATGTAGATAAAACTAGTTAGTCCAAAGGTGTGTGTGAGGCTATACAAGTTGCACAACTGGAGATGTTGTACGGGTAAAGGGACGACGCGAGGAATTGTGGGAACGGCTAGGCCGGATACGAAAGAACAAGGACCCTGCTGCACTGCAGACTAGCGGTTGTCGTCGCGCTTTTAGTCTAGTTTCCGTCGCCAGAATTTAAAATAAAGCCAAGATCAATTTCCCCCCCTCGCCGATTCTACTAAAGTTTCCACACAACGTCGGCCGATTTTCTGTTAAATTATCGTTTATTACACCAGAAAATCCTATATAAATATATCCGAGTTTTACCCATCTACTTACGCCCGCAAACTACGCCATTATATTGTATACACATATCTGTATTGTCGACGTCGAAAGAAATTTTAAAGGAAAATAATTAGAAAAAAAAAAAAAATACTCGATCGATTCGAAAACGAGAAAACTCGAAGCCGGTTCGACGAAAAAATGTCGACCGTCACTTCCCAAGAATACTTTTATTTTTTTATTATTTTTTTAATCGACAGATGAAGAATTGTGCAAACGACGACAACTCCAATTGCCACATCGTCTAAAACCAACGTCGTTTTTACGAATAAATGGAACACTAAAGCGGTCTTCCGTTACGAAAATATCACACAAGAGTATGTGTTTTATTTTTCTCAACCCCTAGGATAATAAATTTCGGATAATTATTTGTCTCTGGCATACAATAAGGAATTTACGCGCGTATTCCACCCGTTTAAAAACGTAGAAATTACGTCTTCTCTCCGGGCTAAACAATTAAAAAAAAAAAAACACTACGCAATCGTAGTGTCATTCGGTATAATAACCCAACGAACACACTCTTAAACCCGTTACGGAAAAAAGCCTACGTCAATTATTAGAACTGGGTCGAGATTACGACAGGGAAAAGTCGACGGACGATTCGTTATAACGAAGAAAAGAAAGAAAGAAAAAAAAAAACGATTAAGAGCGTGACGGACGGACGAGCGAGCTTCATCCCCTCGGCGAGGTGTATTTAAAATGACGTAGTTTCGACGAAATAAGGAACGTTATTTAGGGGTGGGAGAGAAGACGTGTAAACGTTTAAAAGAGTAATTGAAATAATAATTGGAAATTCGAAGGTGAGAATTGGATTAAAAGACAAGTTTTAATAAAACGTGTCCCGGCGAATTAAACGCTACTTTGTACGAAATAAAAAAAAAAAAAAGAAATATATTCGATTCGATTCCCCGGAACAATAGCTTCATTCTTCTCCTTTCGCCCCGCCATCGACGATAAATAGGAACGACGTCGGTCATTTACCGTTATAGCGCTTTATAATATATATATATATATATATATTTACCCCGATATAAAGTAATAAAGGTGAGCTAAATAGAAAAAAAAAGAAAATAAATTATGATAATTTGTTAGACGTGGTTATAATTATTTACGTCCAACCGGAAGGAATATCGATTTAAAATTCATAGAGAAAGGACGAAGTAATGCCGACCGGAGACGAATAAAAGTGGTAAAATGAAAATATCCCGTCGTGCCCGGTTATTAAAGACGAGCAACAGATTAGGATTAATAAAAGTAGTGACCTAAGATGGCGCGATCCCTTCTATATATATATATACGTGTGTGTGTAGTGTGCATGTGCGCGTGTGCGCGCCGGAGACGGTATCGATCGGGATCGCACCCATCTTCCGAGAAAGGAAAAAAACGTGGAGGAAACGAGATAAAGGATCGCGCGCCACGAGTTTTTAAAAAAACATTCAATTAATCCGATAAATATTTATACGTCGACCGTTACTTAAAACGTCCGGGTGTCGGTCCCACCCCGACGGACGACTTTTTCGTAGAGGGGGGGAGAGAGAGAGAGAGAGAGAGAGAAAGGGCGAAAACGGTCTTTCGTTGTTTAGATTTTATTCTAAAAATCGTAACTTACTTTGTTGCCAAAATCCAAAAGCGTAGCCAACGACTCGATAAGTATCCTCGAGCTGACTCATCACATACTAACGCGCGACGAGAAGAGAAGCGCATACGTTTAACGGGCGCGCCACCGGCTACGTTTTGGCACCCGCGTAATTACGCGTAGTTTGTTTACGCCGGTCGGTGGGTCCGACGGAAGGCGTCGAGTTTAATTTTCCAGCGGGGGGAAAGGGGAAGAGAGGAGGTGGTGGTGGTGGTGGTGGTGGTTCCGCGCAACCCGAACTTCCCCCCAAACGGGCCTTGAGTGCGGGGGTATCTATTTACCGACAAAAGTAAAGTACCGGGAACCGGTTCCGTCGTCTCGGAGCGGGGAGAGCCGGCAGGAATCTCGTCCTTTTATAATCGATGCCGGGCGCGGAATGTCGTCGGGGGGCCCCCGACGTTTTCCACTTTATCCGCCGTCTAACCGGGCCCTTTTTTTTTTACTAAGCTTCGTTGGGGCGCCGGTAAATCGTGGCCCGGTGGTGGTAGAATGAGACCGGGAGTGGATGCACCCCCTCGGCCAGAAGTCGACCGTTAAGTAGAAACGACCTTGGAACAGCTCGACCTATTTTCATAAATCGGAGGAAGCGGAGGGTGTGCGATAGGAGTGAACGAGTCCGACCTTTAAAAGGCAACGAGTTTCCGAGATAAATTTTCGAAAACAAAGAATCGCACGCGCAAGGGGGAAGAGGGTCGAAACGTTATTAGGTTCCGTTCTAGCCGCGGGATATTTTTATACCCGTCGATTCCGCTGCCTCGTCCTTATTCCGGTTAAGAGTCGATGGCGAGTAAAAATATCGGAGGGTTGAGAAACGTTTATTTTTAAATGCGAAAACGGAAATCGAGATGGCGCTTAAATATTGATCCCCTCCAAACCTATACGTACGGCATCGGGCGCGAAGACGCTCTACCTCGTCTCTTCTAATAAATTTACCACGCTTCTAGGCTCAAATTGCGAATATCCCTTCTAAATATATTCTCGTCGGCAAACAAAATCGCCTTTATATATTGTCTACAAATCCAATTCGTACCCACTAAACCACCGGCTCTTCCTTCGTTTAGCCTTGAACAAAGGAAAACAGTCGAATTCCTACGCGTAAAACAAAAAAAAAAAAAGGACGATCAGACGTAATAATTACAATGGACACGTGCGTAAAATTAATCCCTTTCTCGGGGTGTAAATCGAAAGATTAGTATTTTTACTCCCTCCCTTCCTCGAATACGTAATGGTAGTGTTTAAGATTGATCCCCGAATTACTTTAATCGCGACTTAAAAGAAATTCGACCGTCCCACTACATTAATAACTCCTTTCTTTAATGTTAACAGGAAGTTACGGGTATAAACGTTGTTAACTTCCTGTGTTTTTTTAAAAAAAAAAAAATGTTTTATAGAAACATACGCATCAATTTTCGTCGCGGATTAGATCCGTGGGTAATTACGCTATGGCTGCGGGAGATTTTTTTTTTTATTATTAATACGGCAATTACTTGTTTACAATACCTATAGGTAACGCCAGTAAACCGGAATTTTTCTTATCTCCGAGACTCTATGTTTAGACGAGTGAATCCCTGGGGCGGATCGGACACCGTCGCCTCCTATTATGTCGTATTCCGCGGGGATTGCCAATTTTTTTCACGCCACCCTCGAGATTCGTATAAATGTACTCTTCGGACGATAAATCCTCCGCTCCCAAATATCCTTCCCCACTTCTTTTATTTTTTATTTTCGGAGGAGAAAAATTACCTTTCGAAAATTAGGTCAGAGTTAATGGTTTATTTCGAATTTACGGTCGAACCCGCCACTTTAAAATGCTCCCAATTCGTTAAAAACGACTCTTATCGCCCAAATATTTGTTTATTTATCGACGTGAAAAAAAGGGAGGAGATAATTCGAGCGATAAAAGACTTATTAAGGGGATTAAATTCTATAGATTACACTTANAGAAGAAAAAAAAACAATACTAAAATGCACGTCCGGAACGAAATCCGAAGCGCCAGACTTTAAAAACCAAAATTCCCTAACTTCTTTCGCAATTCGAATTCTTCCTAGTGTGACGTAGGAGGCGGATCGAGCGCTACCAGACGCGATACACCGGGGAAGATTCCACCGTCGGAGGGGGGTGAGGCCGCGGGGTAATCCGATAGCGTTAAAACTTGTTGAACGTAGCGAAATACCCGCGCGGTAGAATCGTATGTCGGATCGATGGGGAAAGTAACCGGCCCAAAAGGTACCCGAACCTTCGACATCGGCCCATTTAAAGTCGTCAGACTCGGGTCCCACCGAGCGGCCCCAACAGACACCGTTCGGTCGGGGGTACCGGTTGGCAAAGGTCAAATACCTGCGGGTTCTTTTTTTTTTTTGTTTTTTCTTTTCCTTCGCGCTCGACTCGAGCGACGACCGACGACGACGACACTCGGACCGACGCGACGTTTCGAAATTCTCGAATTCTTCCACTCTTAAAGGTTGTTAACAAACCGGAAATACGTCATCGATTTCCTTTACGCCGAGCACGACGGGTAGCGAGGTACCGTCGATAGGTTTCGTCGGGCATCGATTAGCGGGGGGGGGGCAAAAATTAGTTAACGGACGTAATAAATTGCTAAAATATATCGACAGAAGGCCACTTTCCAACTTTTTTTTTACTTCGTCTCGACTTTTGTAGGTTAAAAGCGATTTCCAGGGTGGAGTTACCCCGCCTCGGATTAACGTCTCGGAACCTACCGACCGAGCATGCGCATCACCGACCGTTTCCGACCTTCCGGTCGGCGCGAAAAAGTTCGAAACTCGAATCCGAATACGCAATTTTGACGGGGGAAAAACGGATCCGAATCGCCGGCGGCGGAGGATTTTTCGGAGGATTTACGAAAGGAGGGAGATTGGCCGCCGCCCGACTTAATTACTCGGGCGAGAACGCGGCGCGGTGGGCCGACGAGAGGAGGTAAAAAGAAAGAAAGAAAGAGAAAAAAAAAAGGGGTCGAGGGTTTAGGGGTGGCCGGTTTAAAACGTTATTAATAGTATTGTACGGCGATCAACAGATAAGAGGAGGACGGCCAATCTGTATCTTATAGCCGCGTTATTCGATAGATGAGCGGAAGACGGGAGATTGTATCAACAAAAAGAACGGATCAATAAGAGCGCTGAGACTGCGGCAAAATGAGATTTTGATAGAAGCTGGCATCTCGAGTGTTGGACGATTTTGACTAAAACTCTCGTCCGTCGATAAATAACTTCTCGCGTCTCCCTCGTCCGTTTTTAATCGTTGTTCGCGACAATCGGTGACGTTCGATGGCCTCCTCCTCCTTCGTCCCCGAATACGCGGATCGGTAGCCTCCCGCGACGCCGCTTCCCCCACTTAAACACGCCCCGCTTAAAAAACATTCGAAGCATCGATTAATTCGACACAGCGACTTAATCCTCGAAATAACGTCGCCTCGGACTTTCCTCAACTTTGGCAATTGCCGAAAAAACGGCCGTCGAGCGGCGCAAAACCTCGTTATAACGAGTCTCGTTTCTAACCGGAGTCTTAATTTATACTTTTATTTTTAGCCCTCCTTTTTTTTGTCGCCATTCGTCTATTAACTCTCGCGTATAATACGCCGTGACTCAGCAGTGACGTCACCGAAAAATTGAAACGGTTCGAAAATCGGGGGAAAAAAAAAATATTATTCTCGGCGGGATTTTCGGTCCCGTGCAAAATCGTAATTAATGACGTCGTTGGTATTAATTTTCTACCGACGTTAATTAATTTCCGACCGAAAGGTGGAACCGTCGGCCGGAAGAAGAAAGGAACTCGACGGGGGGAAAAAAAGACTGGCGATAAATAACGTTCATAAATCAAACCGGACGATATTTTCGGACGAGCGATTAGTTTTCGGTCGATGGCGGATTACGTCGAGGCGATTAATAATTAAATATCGGACGCCCAGGACCGATTTCGTGCCTTCTCGCAACGTGTCACGTGACGACGACGGCCATATTGTCATCGTGCATCGACGCATCCACCTAGGGTAACGACTCTCTTAACCGTAACCTTCCTCCTTCCTACGCCGTCACCACCGACCGAAGCTTCCGAAATTTTCTACTTTCCACTCCAAACACGTGTACTGGCGTACTTTTTAACCTCTACAATTCCCTCCCCCCGCGCCACCGGTGGAAAANATATATATATATATATATATATTTACCCCGATATAAAGTAATAAAGGTGAGCTAAATAGAAAAAAAAAGAAAATAAATTATGATAATTTGTTAGACGTGGTTATAATTATTTACGTCCAACCGGAAGGAATATCGATTTAAAATTCATAGAGAAAGGACGAAGTAATGCCGACCGGAGACGAATAAAAGTGGTAAAATGAAAATATCCCGTCGTGCCCGGTTATTAAAGACGAGCAACAGATTAGGATTAATAAAAGTAGTGACCTAAGATGGCGCGATCCCTTCTATATATATATATACGTGTGTGTGTAGTGTGCATGTGCGCGTGTGCGCGCCGGAGACGGTATCGATCGGGATCGCACCCATCTTCCGAGAAAGGAAAAAAACGTGGAGGAAACGAGATAAAGGATCGCGCGCCACGAGTTTTTAAAAAAACATTCAATTAATCCGATAAATATTTATACGTCGACCGTTACTTAAAACGTCCGGGTGTCGGTCCCACCCCGACGGACGACTTTTTCGTAGAGGGGGGGAGAGAGAGAGAGAGAGAGAGAGAAAGGGCGAAAACGGTCTTTCGTTGTTTAGATTTTATTCTAAAAATCGTAACTTACTTTGTTGCCAAAATCCAAAAGCGTAGCCAACGACTCGATAAGTATCCTCGAGCTGACTCATCACATACTAACGCGCGACGAGAAGAGAAGCGCATACGTTTAACGGGCGCGCCACCGGCTACGTTTTGGCACCCGCGTAATTACGCGTAGTTTGTTTACGCCGGTCGGTGGGTCCGACGGAAGGCGTCGAGTTTAATTTTCCAGCGGGGGGAAAGGGGAAGAGAGGAGGTGGTGGTGGTGGTGGTGGTGGTGGTGGTTCCGCGCAACCCGAACTTCCCCCCAAACGGGCCTTGAGTGCGGGGGTATCTATTTACCGACAAAAGTAAAGTACCGGGAACCGGTTCCGTCGTCTCGGAGCGGGGAGAGCCGGCAGGAATCTCGTCCTTTTATAATCGATGCCGGGCGCGGAATGTCGTCGGGGGGCCCCCGACGTTTTCCACTTTATCCGCCGTCTAACCGGGCCCTTTTTTTTTTTACTAAGCTTCGTTGGGGCGCCGGTAAATCGTGGCCCGGTGGTGGTAGAATGAGACCGGGAGTGGATGCACCCCCTCGGCCAGAAGTCGACCGTTAAGTAGAAACGACCTTGGAACAGCTCGACCTATTTTCATAAATCGGAGGAAGCGGAGGGTGTGCGATAGGAGTGAACGAGTCCGACCTTTAAAAGGCAACGAGTTTCCGAGATAAATTTTCGAAAACAAAGAATCGCACGCGCAAGGGGGAAGAGGGTCGAAACGTTATTAGGTTCCGTTCTAGCCGCGGGATATTTTTATACCCGTCGATTCCGCTGCCTCGTCCTTATTCCGGTTAAGAGTCGATGGCGAGTAAAAATATCGGAGGGTTGAGAAACGTTTATTTTTAAATGCGAAAACGGAAATCGAGATGGCGCTTAAATATTGATCCCCTCCAAACCTATACGTACGGCATCGGGCGCGAAGACGCTCTACCTCGTCTCTTCTAATAAATTTACCACGCTTCTAGGCTCAAATTGCGAATATCCCTTCTAAATATATTCTCGTCGGCAAACAAAATCGCCTTTATATATTGTCTACAAATCCAATTCGTACCCACTAAACCACCGGCTCTTCCTTCGTTTAGCCTTGAACAAAGGAAAACAGTCGAATTCCTACGCGTAAAACAAAAAAAAAAAAAAAAGGACGATCAGACGTAATAATTACAATGGACACGTGCGTAAAATTAATCCCTTTCTCGGGGTGTAAATCGAAAGATTAGTATTTTTACTCCCTCCCTTCCTCGAATACGTAATGGTAGTGTTTAAGATTGATCCCCGAATTACTTTAATCGCGACTTAAAAGAAATTCGACCGTCCCACTACATTAATAACTCCTTTCTTTAATGTTAACAGGAAGTTACGGGTATAAACGTTGTTAACTTCCTGTGTTTTTTTAAAAAAAAAAAAATGTTTTATAGAAACATACGCATCAATTTTCGTCGCGGATTAGATCCGTGGGTAATTACGCTATGGCTGCGGGAGATTTTTTTTTTTATTATTAATACGGCAATTACTTGTTTACAATACCTATAGGTAACGCCAGTAAACCGGAATTTTTCTTATCTCCGAGACTCTATGTTTAGACGAGTGAATCCCTGGGGCGGATCGGACACCGTCGCCTCCTATTATGTCGTATTCCGCGGGGATTGCCAATTTTTTTCACGCCACCCTCGAGATTCGTATAAATGTACTCTTCGGACGATAAATCCTCCGCTCCCAAATATCCTTCCCCACTTCTTTTATTTTTTATTTTCGGAGGAGAAAAATTACCTTTCGAAAATTAGGTCAGAGTTAATGGTTTATTTCGAATTTACGGTCGAACCCGCCACTTTAAAATGCTCCCAATTCGTTAAAAACGACTCTTATCGCCCAAATATTTGTTTATTTATCGACGTGAAAAAAAGGGAGGAGATAATTCGAGCGATAAAAGACTTATTAAGGGGATTAAGTTCTATAGATTACACTTAGTTTTAGCCATTGTCTCGTTTGTAATTTAAATAAAGTGGGGTGGAATCGCATTCGGAAAAATATGTTTAAAAAACATCGATATTTTTAGAATATTCCGAGGAAATTTGGTTACGACAAACGACGACTCCTCTTCCAT